CTCCCCACTCGCGCCGCCGCGTCCGACCCGCCCGCCCGCCCGCCCTCAGCGTCTTTCTGCGCGGCTCGCACGTGCGCTTCATGGTCCTGCCGGACATCCTGAAAAACGCGCCCTTCTTTAAGAAGATCGACACCAAGGCCAACAAGGCGCGCGCCCTCTCCCTCCCTCTTCCCTCCCCCCCCTCCCCTCCCCACCTCTCACCACGCCGCACACCTCTCTCACCAGGCCTCCAAGGCTGGCAAGGCCAAGCAGGCAGCCACGCAGAGGGCGGCCGGGCGGCCGACGCCGGGGATGCCGCCGCCGAAGGGCAGGGCAGCGCGCGACGGCGCGCGGTAGCGGCTCCCCCCCGCTGGCCTCAGGCCAGCGCGCGCCCTTTTTCCAGTGGCGCCGCGGCGCATCTCCGAGATTGCGCTGCACGCGCACCGCCGCCGATCCGCGTGCGGCGGGCGCCCCCCCCGCCTGCTCCCGAATCTCGTCTGCTTGGACTCCTTCGCCCTGCGCTGTAGCAGCCGTCGCCGGCATTGACCATTGAGCATTGTGTTACGTTCATGACAATGTGTTTTGCTTTTGGAATCACCATGCTTCATGCCGGTCCCCCGGTACTCGTCACGCGGGGTGCTATTCGCATGCTGTCGCCGCTCGAAAAGAAATATTTTCGCGCGCCCGCTCCACAGCGACTCGCGCCTACAAACCACCTGCGCGACTCGGGCAACACGTACGTCAGTCACGCTATGCGACGCCAGATTCTCCTCGTGTTGGACGCGACCGAGGCCATGGCACCGCACCTGCGCTCGCTCCTCGACGACACTGTTTGGCCACTCCTCGAGCGCTGGCTCGGCGAGGCCCGGACGAGCACCGAGGCGGCCCTCCTCACGGTGCGGGACGAGAGCACCGGCTGGGGCGCCATCTCTCCCTTCACAACCTCGCCGGCGACGCTCCGCCGCTGGCTCGACGCAGTGCCGCTGCACGGCGGGCTGGACCCGCCCGAGCTTCTGTGCGCGCTGACGCTGGTGGCGAGTGCGGTGCCGTGGACAGCGGCGCGCGAATGCCGGCACGTGCTGCTACTGACCGCCTCGGTGCCTCTTCCGCTGCCGACATGCACCGATCCAGAAGCGCACCCGTTTGCGCCTGTGCCGGAAGCCCTCGCCGCGAGCGGCCTCTCCCTGTCAGTCATCTCGCCCGTCGCCGCCGTGAACCTCGCAGCTCTCCACTCGTCCTGCGCGCGGCCAGCACCACCACGCGCGCCCGCTCCCGTTGCAATTTCCAGCGACGGTCCCCTGCTGCTGCTAGCTCCTGCCCTCGACCCTGCTGCTGCCGCCGCCGCAGCTGCTGCTCCGCCGCCGCCGCCGCCGCCGCCGCTCCGCCCGCCGCCCGCCACGCCACAGGTGGTGGCTGCAGGCCCGCCGAGCCAGAGCCCTCGCTCCGCCAGCCCGGCGGGCGGGATGACCAAGCTGTGGGAGGGCGCCCTGCTGCTTACCGCCGAGGAGGGCAGCGTAGATCTATGAGGCTCCCACCCAGAGGGGGCTCACGATTTCATATCCCCGCTCCCGACTGGGAGGGCGCGCGCCACCCGTTGCGGGTCGCTCACATCCAAAATCTCTGAAAAGCT